CACACACCCCCGGCCGAGGACGCGCGCCCCCTCCTGGTGGCCCGGGGCCTCGCGAGCCAAGTGCAGAGGTCGGAAGGGAGAGGGCACTGGCCGGAGAGGGGGCCGCTGGAGGCGCCCCGCTAGGAGTTGGGGAGCTGGCTGTGGTGGGAGAGGAGACGTAAAGGAAACGGTGAGGAAGAGACGCAGACACAACGGGCGAGGCACGCCTTAAAAGGCTGGTCACGTACCCCGCGCCTGCGAGTACACTCGCTTGGCCACCCACGCGCGCCGCGAGTGACACCGCTTCCCGCCCACGTGCAGCCCCAGCCGTCGAGTGTCACGGCCCACGGGCGCCGGGGTCCGGGCCGTCCCTTCTTCCGGCCCCCCTACCTCTGCTGCCCCCCAGGGCAGAGCCATGGAGGGCACTGGGCGGTGGTGGACACCCGGGGCAGGTGCAGAGAGGAGCCTGAGTCGCCTCTGGTGAGGAGGAAAACACCTTCAGGGCTGAGCGTTCAGACCCCAGCCGTAAAGCTGCGGGTGGTTTCCGCCCCTAGCCGGGAGATGAAGCAGGGGCTGTTTTTTCCGCTCTGGGCTCTTTGTCTCCCCCCACCGAAGGCTACATGAGCCAGCCGTAGTGACCTGGTGGCTCTGGCTCTGCCTGAGCTCCTCGTTCTGGAGCCTCAGAGGAGCACTTCCGGGCCCAGGTGAAAGGAGGGCGTGCTCCTGCTCGCCCGCGGGAAGGCCCTCAGCCAGAGCCAGAGAGGCCTCTGCTGGTGAGGCAGGTGTCCTGGAGGCCGACTGCCGCCCCTCCTGGGCCCGGAGAACCCGGGGGAGAAGGAGGGGCTGCTAAGGCAGCCTTTGAAGCCTTCTGCCTCAGGCCAGATTTCCCTTCTAGGAATCAGGGCCCAGCCAAGGAAGAAGCCTGGGCAAGGGGAGCAGGGAAGCTGTGGGCCATGGAGTCCCTTAAGGAAGAGCAACACAGACCTGTATTGAGCACCTACTGTGTGCCAAACCCTGCTATAGGCTCTTAGGGATCCCAGTAACAGAGTTTTAGAACACTTACCACTTCGTTTCCGTGAGGGCATTGGCTGGGGAGGTCACCCTGAGACCATGGGACTACAAACTTTCCCGCTCAGCTCGGGGACCTGACAATGGGCCGGAACGGGGGTTGGGGGAGGCAGATGATAAGGCCCTGAGAGCTAGAACTGCGGCAGGACCCGGAAACCATCCCAGTGTCTTTCTGCCCCGGAGGACACACAGGCAGATGACAGTGCTTCACCAGGCCTGGTTCCCAGTGCCCCTCCTTTCTTAACTCCTGCAGAGACGCAGACACTCCCTCCCTAGGCCGTGGAAGGCCCTGAAGTTTGCCACCCTCCGGTTCACCCATGCTGTGCCCCTATGGTGTTCTGTCTCCTGCTCTGGAGAGGTGCCCAGCTGACTGAGCAGTAGAGGGGGGTATTTTTAGGCTCATTCTGAGTACCTGAGTCAGAGCCAGCGGCCTGGAGCCTCAGCCCTGACTTCTGCTCCTGCTCTTGTGCACTTGGACCTTGAATCCAGCCCTAGTTCTCTCTGCTCAGGCACTGGGTTGAGTCTGGGGCCAGCACAGTGTCCAGCACGGGCAGGCCATCGTGGCTGACCCTGATGTTGGGAGGACCCTGTCCCCTTGGCAGGGACCTAGGTTCCAGGGGTGGCCTCTGAGCCAGCCCCATAACTCTGCCAACAGTCCCCTTGTTCTCTCTCCACAGGCAAAGAACAGAAGGAGACCAACATCGAATCTGTGAAAACGGAGGCAAGTGTTTTCCTCACCCCCAGGGGCTCTGTGGATCCTGATTCTAGAAGAAAACCACCGCTCTGACCGGCTGGCGAGTGTGTGAGGGGCCGGAGGGTGGGCCCTGCCCCTGCCCCTTCTTTACACCCCTATGTGAGGAGGAGAGGAAGTGGGGGTGGAGGTTGGAAGTCCCCCGGCCAGGCAGCCAGCTCTTCTCCCTCTGGGGAGAAGCACTCTGCATGGCCTTGTCCGTGTGTCCAAACCTTCCCTGGCCCAGACAAGGCTCCCCAGGACTCCCAGGTCACCCTTCTGGCCAAGAGCCATAATCCCCATGTTCTTTATGAGGTGAGTCCCCAGTTTCCCCTCCAGGAGGGGCACCCCTGCAGGGGGACCAGTGCCTGCCTTAATGCCTGTCTGTCTCTCTGCCATCTCTCTGTCCTAGGGCTCCCGGGGCCGGCTGCGGGGTGGCTTGGGCTGGGAGTCCAGCCTCCGCCAGCGGCCCATGCCGCGGCTCACCTTCCAGGCCGGGGACCCCTACTACATCAGCAAGCGCAAGCGGGACGAGTGGCTGGCGCGCTGGAAGCGGGAGGTGAGGTGCCTTCTGGTCAGGTCCCGTCTGTGCCTTGGAACCAGAAACCCAAAGTCGGTTCAGCCAATCTGTTGTCAGGCTCTGGCTGAGCCAGTTTCCCCCGTGGGTTGACCCCTAGAATTTACAGGGACGGCATGATCCCTAGGCAGCCTTGGTTCATTTGTTCTTTCAACAAGTGTCTGCTGAGCGCTTACTGTCTACCGGCCGGTGTACTGGGCTCTGCGTCTGTGGCTCCTGCCCTCACAGAGTGACATTCTGTCTGGGGACAGGCAGAAAACAAACGAATACAGAAACAGCGTAACAGAGGCCTGCTCCAGGTGGGCGGTCGGTAGAGGCTTCTTAGGAGACAGGTATTTAGTTAAGACCTAAAGGAACTGACGGGCTGGCTGTGAGGAGTGGGCAGAGAGGATGTTCTAGGCAGTGGAGGCAGCGTGAGCAGGGTGCTGGCTTTTTTGGCAAACTGTATGCCCAGAGTGAAGCGAGCAGGAGGGAAGCGGGGCCAGACGAGGCCAGAGCAACAAGCCAGGTCCTCGAGGGCCTGCCAGAGGCCAGTTGGCTATTCCGGGTGTAGCAGGGAGCCATAGAGGAATATCCGTGTGGACTCACGTGACAGCAGGGAGGTTGTACTGGGAGGTGCAATCAGCAGGGCCAGCTGATGGAGGGGAGGGGTGAGCAACAGACCTTCAGGGTGCTGACCCAGCCTCATGGTGGGGAGACCCAGGGGACGAAGCAGCGTGGCTGGGTGGGAAGCAAGGGTTCAGTGTGAGTGCGCAGAAGCCTGAAGGCCGAGCTTGGGAAAGTGCAGGCTGCTAGTGTGGAGGGTGGGGCCTAGGGCAGATCTGGCATTTCAGTCCATGGGAACTGAGGTACTCGCCTGACAGAGAAGGCAGAAAGGCCCAGAACATAAATGCTGGCATTTTTAGGTCACAGAGAGAAAGGGAGCCGTAGGTAGCAGGGCCTGAGAGGGACCGAATGGGCCCCAGAAGGGGTGTCTAGAAAAGCAGAAGGCGTCCAGAGGAGGGCGCTGCCCGGCCTGGGAAAGCTGAACTCATGGAGATGCGCCTGCGCATTGGACAGGCCTGGGGGACTGAGGACTCATCTCAGAGGAGCATCCGTAGGAGTCCAGAAGGGGTGGAAGCAGCCCATGGATGAATTCAGCAGGGAAGGAGGCAAGGAAGTGGAGACTGAGAGACCAGGGAGGAAGTCAGTCCTTCCAAGTAGTTTCTTGAGCCATCCTCTAGAGCGTTTGATGAGAGAAAGTACAAAGAGAAGGAGGTGTGGGCCTGCCCCCAGGCATTCTCCCGGCCCTTCAGCTTGCTGTCCATCATCTTGACCCCAGGCCATCAGACACTGTGTGCTGAGAGCTGCTCTAGAGAAAGTTCCAAGTCCAGGGGGAGAGGAGAGCACTTCTGGCTCCTTGATTGTGTCCAGTTCCTTCAGGTTCAAGGAAGGCAGAAATTCCTCTTAGAAGAGCCTGGAAAAGGGGCAGTCTGTCCAGGGTCTGCAGAGAGGGCCTTGGTCATGGGTGCTGAGCCTTGTCCTGGCCTGGGAACTCAGGGAGGGTCCTGTTCTGGGACCCTGGAACTCAGACAAGGGCTCTGGTTCTTCATTCTGTTCTGTGTGGGGTTTCTGCTCTTGCTAAATCCTGAGGCAGGAAGCATAGAGATTGTGACTTTTAGGCCTCTGTAGAACTTCTAGAATGTTCTTTGATTCTCCAATTGTGCTCCCTTGAAGCCACAGTTGGAGGCCTGCCCTCCATCCCAGTGAAAAGGGGGCCTTCTCTCAACTCAGGGAAAATGAAGATAGATGCTAATTTTAGAAAATGATAGATTTTATAGTAAAATTTTAGAGCTTTTTTTCCCTGCTATACTAAGAATTAAACCCAGGGGCATTCTTCTGCTGAGCTACATCCCTTGTCCTTTTTATTTTTAATTTCAAGATAGCATCTTGCTAAGTTGCCCAGCCTGGACTTGAAATTACCATCTTCTGCCTCAGCTTCAACCTCCTGAGTAGTAGCTAGGATTACAAGTGCGTACTCCACACCCAGCAAAAAACTTCTTTTAAGAACATTTGTTGGATCGGGGGTGTAGCTCAACGGTAGGGCACTTGCCTAGTGAGCCCCAGCACTGCAAAAAATAAAACAAATTGCTAAGCTACATGGTAGAGAGTACTGTAAAGAGCCCCAAGTATATCATCCACCTCTACAGTCATCAAAAGCTACATTCTATCTGCTTCTCCACCCCAACCAATAAAGATAACAGAAAAGTAAGGGATTTAGCTCAGTGGTTCTGGTGCATGCCCTGCAAGCATAAGGGCCTGAGTTCAATCCCCAGGACCATAAATAAATAAATAAATAAATGATGGAAATGCATGTTTTGGGCCCGGGATTTAGCTCAGTGGTTCCACCGCCTGCCTTGGAGGCACAAGGGCCAGAGTTCGATCCCTGGTACAAAAAAAAAAAAAAAAGAAAGAAAGTAAAAAAATGAAACAAAGAAAACGGATTTGATTTAAAATATTAAAAGTACCTAAGACTTACAGTGTAGAAACTTCCAAACAAATCATATTTTTTTCTGCCAGTAAGATTGTTTACTTTCATAGTTTCCAGTACAAGTTTTAAAACTATAGATTCCCTCATTTTCAAGACTAGGGCACTTGTGCAGAGTTATGATGCTGGCATGGAATAAGAATTTAGGTTTCCTACTCCTCTTGAGGCACAGCTCCAAATACCACACTCTGACAGGGAAGCCACATGTAATCAGAAAGTTGTGGATGCATGTATGAGTAAAAAATAAATAAAGTTCAAAAGACTGGCCGAGTGTGATGGCGTGCGTCTAATAGCTGAGGGAGGAGGATTGTTCAAGACCAGCCTAGGCTATGTAGTGAGTTCAAGGCCAGCCTGAACTACATAGTGAGACTCTTGTCTCAAGTAAAAAAAAGAAAAAAGAAAAAGAAAATAATTCAAAAGTCTGAAAATAAAAAAGTTGGGGAAACACAAATGGCTTTCAAGATGCACCCTGAGCAGCAGTAACTCACTGCAGGGCCTGTTGTCCAAGTTTTGTAATTAGGGTGCATAGATCATTCTTTCTGTCTCAGCTCTTTGGCTTTTGATCTTTTCTTTAGAAATTTCTTCCCTGGCCCTTCCCGACCTCCCTGAAGGTCCCTCTGCAGGTGTCCTCAGCAGAATCCCCAGATTTGTACCCAACCCCTGACAGTCTTGCCCCATCTACCCTTATCTACTCTTACAGATGAAGTCACCTGTCTCCCTCCAGAAAGAGACCTGACAAGGCCTCCAGGCTTCAGCTCTTACCTCCACCTACTCCTCAGGCACTTTCACTTGGAGGCCCAGCCAGCACTTCCTAACCTGAATGCAAAGCCTGTCCTTAAAACTTTCTTCAGGCACCTTCTGCGCCTGCTGCCAGAACTTTCTGTGTCCGTGCAGCTCGTAATATACTGGAAGTGAAAGGTGCAGGTTCATGGCATCTACAGAAAGTGTATCGCCCTGACTAGGTTTAGACTAATTCTGCTGGGGATCACACAGGAGCAAGAGGCAGCTTTTGGTTTTAAAGAGGAGAGGAAAGGCATTCTAGAAGGAGGTCTACAGCATGTGCAGAGGTCCTGAGGCACAAAACAGTATGGCCTTTCCAGGAATGGATATTTGTTTTGGTAAAGCTCAGGGGCTGTGGGCAGAGAGCAGCCGGAAGTGCTGCTGGGAAGGTGGGAGGCCAGATCAAGCCTATAAGGGTTGTATCCCCCCACACCCTGGAGGTCATCCTCCCTCAAAACACACCCCACACTAATTTCCTTTTCCCTTCAGTCAGACCGTAATTACTGAGTGAGGCCTACTCTACTTTTTTGTCTAAAACTATGTACCTCCGGAGGTTCTCCCCATACCTTCCAAAATTTCCGAAAATGTAAACCATCACAAGGTGACTGAAATTTAAAATAGGTGGATGGACCTGTTGTCCATCCTTAAGGTCAACAAATTTCTGCTGGAGTGGGAAAGCTGTCATCTTCTGTCTTGTGTTCTCCTCACATGCTTACTAATCCTGTGCCTTAATCACGATCAGGTCTCACTGTAGAACATACAGTGGCTCCCCATTGTATCCCTGTCACGCCAGAGGCCTTCTGGCCATTTCTCAAGACTTCAATGCTCTGACCCCCACAATTTACCCAGTTGTTTTAGGACTCTGTGATACCCCACTGATGCTGCAGCTCTTCGCCCCGACCCGATTTAAATTACCTCAAGGCAAGGGTACGGTGTCCTACTGCTGTAGGATCTGGTCTCGCTCCTTGCTCTCAACCTGTTGGTCAGGACCTGGGACTCCTGCATGCTTACACTTACTACATGCTCAATAAACAGTCACAATGATGGGGAGTGATCTGGTCACGAGTATCAGTGCTCTCCACAAACACAGGCCGTCCTCTCGCCCATCCCAGGCTGTCCAGCAAAGAGCAAAGTCTTCAGACCCCTGAAGGGCAGGTTGCTCTACACTGTGGCCTTTAGAGGCAAGTTCACATTCTGACATCAGCAAACAATTCCCACCTAGGGACATGGGACATTAGGCACCGTGTGACCTCATCAGCAAGCTGAGGTTCCCCTCTGTGGATGGACCTGGCTGTGCTCTGCTCTTCTGTGTGTCTCAGCTCCAGGGAGCAGCAGTCACCATTTTGTGTTTTGCTTTTTCCCAACCTGAGCTAGTTAAGTGTAGGCCCTGTGGGGCTGGCCGGCAGGAAGGAAGGGGAACGGTGTGCTACATGGATAGATAATCCTGATCTTGGAGGTGTGGATTCAGAGGTAACACACACCTTTAGAGATGCAAGCACAGAGCTAGCACGTATGGAAGCCTGACCATTTAATAAAATTGTTTAAAATTATACTAAGTATTACACAAATATATTCTGGTTGTAAAAAAAAAAAAAAAAAAAAAATCCCCCCTGGGCCACGGATTTAGCTCAGTGGTTCCAGCGCCTGCCTTGCAAGCACAAGGACCAGAATTCAA